GAGATCTAGTGTTTCCAAATTTTGAAGTTCGACTATCCAATTTGGAAGTCTCTCAATGGGATTAGAACTAAGATCAAGATATCTTAAATGTTTCATTTTCCTAAGACATTTTGGCAATTTTGTAATTCCCAATCCATTCAAACTCAACATACGCAATGACTTAAAATTTGAAGCAATTGTAGCACAAAATGAATTATGGAATGACTCCTTCCACAAATGTTGGCTTAGGAAAAGAAAAGTCCTTAGCTTATTTGATTCCAGCAAGGATGTCGGTATTTTCCATTCCGACGAATCAACATCAAAATGGAAAGATAGATGAAGAAGACGTTTTGCATCAAAATCAGTCTTACCGCGATCTATTATTGTGCTTCCCTCCCCTGCCACTTTAACAGCAAGTTCATTCATGAGATCATGCATTTTACAGCTTGTTATTATACCAAACCCATCTTTTTCTTCTTCTTGGAAAAAAGATCTCCAAACTAGTTCGTTATAATATTCATAACCAACATCTTCCAAGCACTCATTAGGATTTGAAGACTTAACGAACCCTTGTGCCACCCACAACTTAATTAATTTCTCTACGGGAATCTCATAATCAGGCGGGAACAAACTACAATAAGCAAAACAATGTTTCAAATGTGATGGGAGAACATCATAACTCAGCTGAAGTGTTGGTAAAATAACATCTTCTTCTTGACTTATTGTTGAAAGCTTGTTACGCTTGAAAGCCAACCACTCAGTTTCTTGATGTTTCGAGTACAACATCCGTCCTATGGTCCTTATAGCAAGAGGAACCCCCTTACATTTTCTAGCAATCTCCTCCCCAAGGGCTTTAATGGTTGAACTCGTTGGCTCTTTTCCATCTTGGAATGCCATTTTCTTGAACAAATACCAAGACTGCTCTTCACTTAAACCGCTTAAGTTATATGGTTTAGATGTGTCTGTTATTTTTGCAACTTTTTCACTGCGAGTAGTTATTAGTATTTTACTACCTCTTGCACCACCCATCAACAAGTCTTTCAAGCTAAGCCATTTTCCACGATTTTCATTCCACACATCGTCTAACACAAGGAGGTATCTCTTCCCATCGATCTTCTTCCTAAGCTCATTTTGCAACAGATCAATGTCAAGGTTATCCCTTTTGGCTATTTCATTAGTTGCAGATTGAATGATTTTCTTAACAAGTACATTCAATTCAAACACATTGGAGACACATGTCCACATTTTCAGCTCAAAATGATTTTGAACCACCTCATCGTTGAAAACTAGTTGGGCAAGTGCAGTTTTTCCCAATCCTCCAAATCCAACTATGGAAATAGTTGAGACATTTTCTGTTGAGATGGGATCCAAATCCAACAAAAGTTGAATAATTACTCTTTTATCTTCATCTCTCCCTATTATATTATCCTCCCGGACAAATGAGTGAGTGACCCTCTCTCTTCTTACAAATTCTACATCTTCACGATTCCTTTCTAACTGACCAAATGTTCTATTCGAGGCCATCTCATGAAGTCTCTTGTTAAGATCTTTTATCTTATGACCCATTTTCAGCCCAAAAACAAGCTGATTTGAGCTAGAGAAGAAGATGCGTACCTGCTTTGACACTTTATTATTTCCAGGCACCATTTGTCTCCACTGAGCTTCAGTATAAAACTCATCGAGCACGTCATCAGCTTCATAAACTGCATCTTCTACGCTTTCGAGCCACACTTTGACTTCATTATCGTTGGCTTGCTTTTGCTCCGCATCAAGAAGAACAGCTCGGAGTTGGGCAACTTTTTCCTTAAGCTTTCGGAGCTCATCTTTGACACCCCAAGGCAATGCAATCTCTTGCAAAACCAGGGGGCCTAACCTTCCAATGATTCCTTCTGCAATGTTGAAGAGGACTCCTTCTGCCATTGCCTTGATTCAGAATAAAAGCAGAGGTGAATTAATTACAATAACTTCAAGTGTTTGTTTCAAATGGTGATCGTGGAAAATGGATCATCACATGGCTAGTCTTTATATAAGTCCCTGTAATTGGCATCTTTCAAGTAAATATTGGTTAGGCAAGGCATAAGATTCTAGCCTACTATGTTAGTCTAAAGAATTTGTTGCTAGCAAGCAAAGATTGTTAATAGAATTAGGATCACACTTGATCTCAAGTAAAGCATTTGGAGATTAGTGAAGGATATATGCCTTGCCACCCCTTTTAGCATATGATTCCCTACAAAATGTACCACATGACCATAATTAAGATTCATTCTCATCGAAGAAATATAGAGATACTTTACCACAAACTAAAGTAAAGAATAAATACCTAAAACTTATTTCTCTGTCTGTGGATCGGATTTGATTCTTGCCACTGGCCTAAGATTGCTCACATCCAAAATACCAATACGTTGATATTTATACGTCTAAAGATCTAGATTCAAAACTTGGTTCTTCCGTTTGCTAACTTGTTCTACCTAACACTTTTTGGACTTATCAGATATGCCAACCTCACTTGTTGATTTTTTTCTTTGTTGATTCATATGGCATACCATCGGTTCCACCGAAAAACGAAAGACATACCATCTGGTACATCTCAACCAAAGATGATTTGATAGTAAAATATGGCACATTAGGATAGTATGGTCACATGGTACATCTTGTACACATATTATAATATGGGTGGACAACAACGTTTATTTTCCTCCCTTTTAGAGAATAGTATCAATAAATATCCACTTATATTATATCACGTGTACAAGATGTACCACGTGATCATACTACTATAGTATACTATAATTACTCTAGCTCTAGAGAGAATTAATTAATTTCCAATGGCTTCTTTGTTTTCAAAAGTAAACATTCTAAGGCACTCTATAACAAGTGTATTACTTGTTTATCCATCTTTATTCCTCCACAATTAACCATAAATGAAACAACAATTTCAATATTTTGGTAATAATACATGTTTTTTGTAATACAAAACAATATCGATCAAACAAAGTAAGGGATTTTGTAGGAAGAACCAAATTGGGTCAGTCCAACATTGCTTTGTTGCTGCAAGAAATTTAAGTGGGGAATTCACTTTAAATTTGCTGATCAACTTGAGCTTGAGGAGGTTCTTGTCCATCAGAGTTCATCATGAGGGCAATTTCAGCGCGTGTTTTAGCTAATTGACATTCTGTATCTTGTATTTGTTGATGTAATTGGGAAATAACCCCAACGCAGCCATAGATAGGATCCTGTATTCTACACTGAGCCTCATAACACAAGGTCTCTGCTGCTTCAACTCTTAGATGGGGCAGGAGTTCCTGATAATTAATCATGAGAAAAATCACAGTTAGAGATTTAAATTGAGAAAAGAAATAAATTTTTAAGAAAAGAAATAAAAAAGCTTCAGCTCTTCAAATAGATCTGAAGAGAAATTAAAAAGTTACTACAATTATGCATTAAAAATTTCAGAACATGACCTTCTATTCATTTCTTTCTCAAATATAATGTCTTGCTGCCAATGTGCCTTCTCTTCTCCCTCCCACATCGTACTATCACTCTATCCTTACTGATCTTTCACATTAATTAATTTTCTTTTCTTTTCCAATCTTTGGTTTTTCAGTTGATTAGCAAAAATTGAGTCCAAATCTTTAGATCGTTAAACACCACGATCATGGCATGCTTAATGAGAAGAATTTTCATATAAAAGGATGTTAGTGTAGCAGTATCTTAAACTAATCATGTATTGTCATTTGAAAAAATTATCACTCGCGGTACCCTGGTAGTATAAGTAAGTTTTTACCGTGCTTAACGCTAGAATGAAAGATAATTACCCTCAGGATTCTTGGAAGCAACCAAATTCAAAGTAGTTTTCTTAAAATAAAATAAAATGAGACTTACCTAGAAAATAGAGAAAACAAAAACTATTGTATTTGTATGGATGCAGAAACATCGAAAGGATAGAAAGGTTTTGTAGGGTTGGGGGGCATGGCCATTGCTTAGTTTAAAAATAGTGAGGTGTCGAATTGGTATTATTACCTGGAGCATTTTGGCAACATTGCTGGCACCATAGATTCTATGAACAGAAGTAAATCTTTGAGGATCATTGGACGGAAAATAGGGAGAGAGTATGCAATCTGAAGGGCATCTCCTTCTCAAATACTTGCACGCAGCACAACGACCAGACATATTCATTTTGATCCAAATCTAGAGAATGATATCAAAATCTCATTCACATAGATTTTCTCAATCTTTTTTTTGAAGAAGATCAAATATTAACTAGATTTTTGGTGTCTTGAGGTATTTGTATTGAGGGCTATGTGTTAGCTCTACCTAGAGAGATTTCCAACGGCTACTTTTTTCTTTTTGAAATTGAAGACTTACAAGGAAATTTTCTTGGCATGGTAATACTAGACTCGTAAGTAGGGTTTGGTTTCTCATAAAAAAAATAAAAAAAATAAAAATTTCTCATATCGTAGTCTTCCATTCAGAAAACCAGTACCTTTCTTTTATTCGTCCTGCAACTTTATTTTGATTGGACCAACCCCGCTATTTGTTTATGGAAACTAACCAGAACGAGTTGACTGCCTTTCATTTCTTTTTGTTAGTTTCTTAGTTTTGCCATAGCATGCTGCATGTGAAATAAGAAAAACCAAAAGTCACATAACCAATTATTTGCAGCTCTTCCTTTATCCCCGCGCGCATGATATATAATAATCCTCAAACTGGAGAAGATATTAAGCAGTGGTTGAAGAATATAAGTCCTATATCGGAAATTTGATAAAATAAAATAAAATATATAATGAATGGTTTCACTACTAATATCACTCAGGCCTTTTGTGATAAAAACTTCACACCTACTGGGCTTTGTAGGTGGTTAAGTTTGGGACAATTTCAGTGACAAGCAAGCAAAGGAAAAAAAAAAACAAAGGCAAGGCAAAGAACAGATAAACCCTGTGAGCACACTAGCAATTCCGATATTGTTCCCAATTTAACCACCTACAAATCTTAATAGGTGTGGAGTTTTATTACAAAAGGCCTCAGTGATATTAGTAGTGAGACCATTTATTATATATTGAATGAAGTTGCAGACTTTGCCTTAACCAAGTTGATTGAGCAGATGTGCTCCTACTCTACACCAGAGTTTAAATTTCCCTCAAGTAAAGAGTCATTAGAAAGACACAAAATGGATTCTTTCGCCATTATTAAACAAACACCAAGAGGCCCATGAAACGCTTGCATACGCGATTGGGATCGTGAAAGTTAAAACGATATTCTAGTTTACTTACTTTCTTATATCCCCAAGAGAAATAATAACACCACCAAAAAAGGAAGTGATGGCTAGTTCAAATAGCTTGTGAAGCAAATTTGTTGAAGCATAACTAGAACTAAAGGTAGTTGGGGTACAGAACAAAGTTGCCATGAAATTCTAAACCTGCAATAAATTACTGTTCCACTGACAGTCCTCAGATCTCACATAAAAATAAGTTATGTTCAAAGACGTATTACATGAAATTCACCCTTCTTACATTACAATAAATAAAAACATATTCTTTTTTAACCTCCTATCATCTACAAACAGTGTGTAAACTTCAAATGGACACACAGTTGACGGAAAGAACGATAAGAACAAAATATAAGACAATTAAGTAACTCCTCCCACCTCTCCAGCTTTAATTGGGCGAACAAAATAAATTTGAATTTGAATTTAACGAAAGTGACGTCGTCTTTGTGTCTAGCAGTTGATTCCACACTGCTCAACATCTGGACCAGTGACTCTTGTGGTAAAGGGATCAACCCTCACCCATAACAAAGAGAAAATTGAAGCAAGCAGAATCGACCACACGATGACAATGGTAGGAGTACGGTTCTGGCGTCCCATGAGACCTTTGAGGAAGGGATATAAATGCACAATCACCCAAAAGGCAAAGAAGAGCTTACCAAAGAGGGGTCCCCATGACTGGTAACCACTGTTGATGGCATAGGATATACCCGCAACAACTCCCACCAAGTTTATGATGAGGAGAGTTGTTGGTGGGATGAGAAGGGTTGTCCATTTAAACATGTAGAGTTCAGCAAAGTCCCCGTCTTCGTCTGATGCCTTGGAGGTGACAGTGAAGTTGGTGTCAATACCAGCAAGGACTTTGAGGAGACCTTGGACGACCGCAAAAAGATGGGCTGAAACACCACCAATAACCCAAAACTGTTCATTTCTCCACCACTCGTCAATTCCGACACCACTCCACCTCATCTCTAGAATACCAGTTGCAAAGATGGAAAGAAAGAGGGAGATGAACCATATACTCGCAATGTTACTAATCTGCAAACAGAATGAGCCAAAAAAATTAGTGAAGCCGTACAACTATCTTTTAATAAATTTTCACAGTACACGTAAATTGACTTGCAGAAGATATATATTCTAAGGTACATCAATATACAAAACCTATCAACTCTTAAACAGGTAGAGTTGCACCAGCACCCCTGCACTGAGAAGAGAGACTACATTGAGGCCATGTTTGATAGGGAGGATTAGATTGGACTAGCTTGGACTAGTAAAATGCTTAGATTTCATGTGCAATCAAGGAAGAATGTGGGTGTTGTCTTCTAAGGTGGAGGATTAAGGTGGACTATTCATATGAGATTGATGTCTAAAACTTATCCCCACTAATCCCCTTGAAAAGGGTGGGATTAATAGATAAGTTTAGGCATGAACCTCTTATGAATAGTCTATCCTAATCCTTCCAAGTTAGAAAACAACACCCATACTATTCGTTGATTGCACATGAAATCTAAGCATTTTACTAGTCCAAGCTAATCCTCCCTCTCAAACATGGCCTCAGAGGGTGCTCTATAAGGAAGGGCAACAAGAAAAAAAAAAAAAACAAAGACAGAGAGAACAGTCTAGCACACAAGGAAATTATGATGACAAACCTGTGGAATGATAAACTTGTTCGTAAGAAGACAGACAGCTGGCAATGTACAGTACATCAGAAGAGGTATGGAAGTGATTGGGTAAATGGTAGTGTTGACATATGCAAATCTCTCCAGCCATTTTAGCCTACCGCTGTAACCATACCAGATAGGACAATGACGACTAAGAAGAATTTCCACAGAACCCAAGGCCCATCGAAGCACTTGGTTCAGACGATCTGAAAGATTAATAGGAGCAGACCCTTTAAAGGCTGGGCGCTTAGGCATGCAATATATAGACCTCCACCCACGGGCATGCATCTTGAATCCCGTGAGAATATCTTCTGTGACAGAACCATAGATCCATCCAATCTGTGGGAGACAGATAATCATCATCTTAAGAGTGAACAAAAATGAGGAAAAGAAACAGAAAATAAAAGGAAAACCATGGTCAACTGAAATTTTCACCCAATAGCAAAAGCTTTCAGGATGAGAGAATACACAACATGAGCAGACTAAGTCCATTGAAGATATCAGTAAGAACTGTATTTGGTGGCCCGCCTTTGTTAAAGTAGGCCATCATAAGTCCCTTTTTAAATATAAAATTAAAAAATTAAAAAAAAAAAGAATGACTGCTCCTAAAAATTTTTAAGAAAGTATAACCAGAAAGTGAGGAGGAAAAAGAAAGAACATCAGAACGTATATGAAAACTTATAAGAATTTGCTAGGACTATAATTTTCTTATGTGTAACAAGTCTCCACAGATACAGGCATATTTGACCCATGCCAAATTAGACCAAGGTAGTTCAATATTTACAAAACCAGAGTGTTCCATGCAGCCAACATATTTATATCTAGACAATTGGATTTCAAAGGTGATACTTGTAACTACATTTGCAACTATTTCCTTGTTGCAATGGAAATAAAAGGATAGCATATAAGGTAACAGATGCATTGACAAGAATGTCATACCTCATTTCCCCAATCAGTTTTGTCTTCATATCCACAGCTGATAACATGAATAGCTTCTTTAAGAAGAGTTTCTGGAGTCGCAGATTGAGGAACACCACCGTTCTCCATCAGTGTGGAGGCAACAAAAACGGCAGACTGACCAAACCTCTTTTCCAGGCTCATTTGAGACATCAATAATGACTTCTCATCATCAAATCCAGCACCTGATTTTGAAAATGTGCACATGAAACGTTTTGAATCCCAAATAATAGAATTAACGACGGAAACAACAGAAAACAAGCAAATTTCCTGCATTGACCCATGATTATGCCACCTAAAAGTAGGCATGATGTATAATCGACTACCTCGATTATATTAGATGAAATTATGTACAAGCTAACACAGAGAATACACGGCAGTTGGGTTTAATGATGAGCATTTCTACATGTAAACTAAAAGCAGTGCATTATTATACAGTCCAAACCACTCTTTTTGGAAGGAACAAAGTATAAAACACATTGATATGAAACATTATACCCAGAATGTTCATCAGATATGCTGCCATAAATGAGACATAGCATGCTACCCATAAATGATATATACATGCTACCCACAAAGATGACTCAAGTCAACTTTGTAGTAAAAATTACTCAAGCACTGATTAGGTAAAAAGCTAAAAAAGAAACAGAAGACTGGCAATTAGTATCACCTTTCAGTCCGTAGTACCATACTCAATACCCCTTTACACAGCCCAAAACAGATGCGACCCATACATCTACTAATGACACAAAACAGAAATTCATAAATTACCTTCCACCCCCTCCTCAATATCCTCTAGACTGAAAATCGGCACAGTCGGATCCACATGCTTGTTTGATTTCTTCTTGTCTGAGCCCTTTTTACTTGATTTTGAACCCTTCTTCCGTGATCCCCCACAAAGTGAAGATACAAACCCAGCTTTCTTATGCTTAGGCTTAACAGGAGGTTCATAACCATACAAGGCTGTTCTATTGAAGACACATCCAGTACCCACATAAACCGGACCTTGAATGCCATCTAAACCTCTCAAGTTAATCTGAAATCCAGAAGGAAATGTAATAACATACAAATCAGGCTATGCAAACCCACTGTGCAAGACTTGTAACTACTTAATACAGAAATCTAGTTTCTGTGATGACTGTAAGGATGGAGAACTTACATCAAAGAAAACAGTATTACGATTGGCATATCGATCATTTCTATCAATACCATCAAATCTCTGTGGAAACTGAACATAGCACACATTTTTTCCAAGGTTAGGATCCATTAGAAAGCACATAGCTTCCCTCAAGGCC